CTCTGGAAAAGTCCCAAATCCAAGTCCGAACGTCGTCCGACTCCGCCGTTCGAACCCCCTTTTCTCCAAAAACTACCTGCTGAACATCCCAGATACGGAATCGCCCAATTCCCTATCAAACGATACAGCACCGTAGTTCAGCGGGAGAACGCTGGGCTCATAACTCAGAGGTCGTAGGATCGAAACCTACCGGTGCTACAATGTATTCTTTTTCTGATTTCAAGCGTTGCAGCCAACGAGGGAAATTGCCGGTATCGGATACTTGCGAGTTATTTTTGTTATCCCCTCGAAGAAACTCCCGATGGAATAGCAACAATATCGATTTTTTTATTCACGGAGATGCCAACACCTTCGAATTCATCACCGCAACTGTTTCGTCAAGCAAGACATGAAAAAAAATTGAACAGAAATGAATAAAATATCGCGCAAAGCCTTCGCGGTACGCACTGGTTATGAGTTGCTACCAAATTATAAGTGTCACTTCATGGCCCAAGCATTCAAGGCGTCAGCACAAAGCAGGGTAATCATTGAAAAGCAGAGTTATCATTGCACTGGGAATCACGTAAGTAAACCCATCATAACTCAAGGAATGACTCAAAACTTCTGGGGCACATAATATGTTCCAAAGCCCTTGTAGAACGCAAGCGGGCCTTTCTTCTCAAAGACCTTCACAGCGCAGTGCAGGGTCCCCTTGTACATCATTTTGGCCGTATTGGGGTCTGGAACTTGCTTTTGTCGTCGCGTTTTTTTGAATATCGAAATGCAGGACCTTGCTGCCTGCGGCCAGGCCAGCCACGGCCTTCTCAACAAAGCTGACTTTCCTCTTTCCGCCATCGTCCAAGGCGGCCATAAACTTGTTGAACAGGACCATCCGCGCAGTATCGTACGTGGCTTGACGGAGGAGACCTGCGGTGAGGCCAGCCGAGATGTCATGCGCAGCCACGAGCTGACGCGCCACTGTGAACGAGAAAACGCCTTTTGCCTTGGCGCCTTCGCCAAGCAGCTGGATACGCACTTCGACCTGTGATTTGTTGGAGTCGATCAGCACACGGTGCGAGTGTCTGCATACTATGCGCGGCCGTGGGAAGAGGCAGTTGCAAAGAATGTGCTGTGGCAGCGGATGTGACGACGAGCGCAAGTCAGACGCGCGCCATCGCAGTCACAAACGGCACCGCCACTTTGCTGTGCGGGGGCTGCGGCGGATAGTGATGCGGTGCTGTGGTAGCGCGCAGGTTTGGTGCGGTGGCGCTTGATGCAGTGGCGGGGCGACGCCTTCGGTACCAGTGCAGTGCAGTGCCGTGCGTGCGGCGATTGACGTTGCGAAAAGCTGCATTGAAAGCTTCACCTTCGCCGCGAATACTCCGAGGATTCCTGGACTAATGCGCACTCGCTGCAGCCTTGAATATGGCCGTCACGCTCGAAAACAATGCTAAACAGTGTCGCTGCTTATCGCGCGTGGAATCTTCGTTTTTCATGCTTTGAGGGCAAGTTCAACGCGTAGCTTGGCCTCTGGGAAGCAAAAACGAAGCTATTTGCATACCAAAGATCCTGGTGCCCAGAAAGAGGAAGATTAAATCGACATCAACGTTCGGACGTTATCCACGCAAATAAATTCAAGGACGACCAGCATCATCTCGTTGTGCGTGCGTATGGTAAGTTTTCGAGGAGCATCCTTTTGCCAAATAATGTGAATTCCGGCAAGGTTGCTGCTTCCTTTGAAAATTTGCCAAGAAGGCGGCATCAAAAAGATATCAATTGAATGATTGCACTTGAGCAATAACACATAAATATCGTTTGCTGTGCCAATCTGCGTGCGTTCTCTAAAAATACGTCCATTTCCACGTTTTGAGGGACCAACGGTTTATTCGCTGTTCATATCTTGTGCAGTTGAGTTACGAGATTATCCTGCAAGGAAAATGCATGGTTACGATGAAGAGTACTTGTTGAAACTATCCGCCGTTTTACTTTAGATGGTCTCATGCGGTCCCACCGAAAATTTTTTCGAGCCAAAGATCTATAATTTCAAATATTTGATTAATTCGGGGTCTATGCTTCTATATCTAAGTTCACGCTGTATATTGCGGGGAGGAAGCTTTAAGCGAATATAAAGCAAACGAAACAATTCCCAAGAAACATCGTCGATCGCTGCAGTCTTCGTGGGCCATGTGAAAGCTCTGCTCGAGTTCAGAGACGACACGATAGGGGATAGAAGCACGAACATAGCATAGCACAATTAATCTATCTATTCAGTGCCATTTCACTTGGCAGAATCTGCTGAGAGACTCTGATTTAATCAAATCGCAAATCTGTTTGATCTGGATTTAATCACAATCCAATCTGATACCAGGCAATCTGAATGGCAAATAAACACAGCGGGCTCTGTTGCCTAAATCAAAGTTGAATAACATTGGAAGATAAGAATAAGTTGACTATTTGCAAGCGCGCGGCGCTGACCGGTGTTTTGTTGCACAAATTTTATTAAGATTTCCGAGAAAATCTTTGCATTTATTGGGCACTTCGACCTAATCCATTTAGATTATCTTTCCGCTGTGCCGCAATTATGGTCAACGTTGTGTCCGTGCTCGCTGCCGTCGCCACCGCCGCTGCCTCTGGCGCGTGCGCATTCAGGCTCGGCACCAACGGCGCTCGCAACATCATCGACTCGTAGGTGCATTCCTGCGTAACGTCGTGCATTAACCCCGTCTGTTAAGCATCCAGGAAGAGGCACCTAGCGGCGTAGCGCCGAAGGGTCTCCCGCTGCGTTCAGGACTGTTCAACCAGACGGTTGATCACTTCGGCAACCAGCAGGGCGTGAACGGGTCGTGGTTCTACCAGCCATACTTCATTCAAGACAAGTACTACAAACCGGGTGGCCCAATCTTTTTCTTCCTTGCTGGGGAGGGACCCGAAGACGGAAGCTGGATGACAGGCGGGTTGGGTTCGATCATGAGCTGGGTGATGCCTAGGTACAATGGCATGGGTATTACGCTCGAGCACCGCTTCTACGGGGCGAACGCCGACGGTGAGTCGCCTCTTGCCAATGATGGATCAAGCTGAATGACAATTATCAGCGAGCAACCCCAGCCGCTCAGTTCCCACCGTGGACCTGTCGCCAGAGTCCCTCCAGCTGCTTACGTCTGAGCAAGCAGTTGAGGACAACGTTAACTTCATCAAGCAGTTTGCGTCGACCTTCCCCGAGTACAATGTCACGGCCGACACCAGGTTCATTAGCATTGGAGGTTCTTACTCCGGTGCTCTCTCTGCTTGGATGAGAGAGAAGCATCCTGAAGCTGTATATGCCGCTCATGCTGCAAGTGCACCAGTTCTGGTAAGTTGTCTGAACTTACATTCTTAAGTTTTTTTGACAATAATCAAACAAGGCTAATTGGAACTTCTGGCGCTATTCATACGCGGTGGACGAAGGCGCGTCGTTCATTTCTAACTTATACTATGGCAATGGCAACTCATGCATGGAAGGCTTCACCCGAGCAGTGCAGCTGCTGGACACGGCCGTGCGTGAGTTAGCGGCGGCGGGGAACGCCACGGCTCTGAGCGCATTCAAGGATCAGTTCTGGATGGCTGGAGTGCCGGACAACCGCGATTTCACGACGGCCGTTACCACGAACATGGCGGAGACGGTTCAGTACTACCCAACCGCGAGCAAGTTGGCGGGAGGGCAGACGTATATCGACGCGGTGTGTGGCGGCAAGACGATTCCGGCGTTTACATCCGGGAACGCCACAGATGCGGAGCTGCTAAATGCACTGGCGGAACAGTGGATCTTGCAGCTGCAAGTGGACGGCTTCACTGGCCCAGATGACCCCAACATCGCCGCCTACTTCTCAACGGCCGCTATCACGGACTTTAGTATTGACGGTGGAATTGCATATCAATATCTGTGGGCATGGCAGTACTGCAACCAGTTTGGGTACGGGCAGGTTGCGCAGCCTCTAAACGGCGGCCTTATCGAGTCTTGGTCTGTGTACTCGCAGTTGAACACCGTCGATTACGAGCAGTGGCAGTGCCAGACCTATGGACTGACGACTGGTCCAACCGACGCACAGATAGCAGCCACAAACGCGAATTATGGTGGCTTGAACGTGCCAACTTCGCGCATCATGTGGCTCAATGGACAGTACGATCCGTGGCACTGGCTGTCGAACTACCAGTCCCCGCCCGGAGCAGACCAAGTGTCATTCTTGTATGCGAATGCGAGTCACTGCAATGACTTGTGGGGTCCGCTGAATGGCACGTCCCACTGGCCGCCTGTGTCAAAGGACTATCAATGGGACCTATTCCAGCAGATTTTTGCGGTCTACGACGAGTGGGTCTATGGCACGTCGACCACGGAAGCATCATCTTCATCAACATCAGCAATATCTGGAACAACGACAGCAGCATCTGAGAGTGGCGTGTTGGCAACCGCTTCACAGGCGTCTGCAGAAACCTATGCACAAGCAACAGTCGGTGCAACTACTGCTCCCACAGCCGCTGGATACATCGCACCATCGGGAGTCCTAGCGGGTGGAGTCTCTGCACCTGCTGCGGTTGGCCTTGCGGGTGTTTTCGTTCTTGCGATGATGATTTGAAGCGATGGATATTTTGCCTTTTGCGTTTCTTATTGTTCTTAGAGTGAGATTAAACAGAGAAAGTATTGCTTTCAATTTGGCAACGTTTGTGCCGCAGAGCTCATCCAAAGAAGAGAATCCACGAATGGCAAAACAGATCTTAATACGCTCACTGAACGACAAGAACAAAAGATACGTAAGAAGGAAAACGAGTCAAAGCGCAGCATCCTGAGTTATTTGTGGAACATCTTGGAAATCAAATTTTTCTCAGCGGCAGGCGCAACGGTTACTACATCAACATCGACAGGGTCAAAGTCGGCCAGACACCATTTGCACTTGAGAGCGGCGACAGGACAGTCATCGGCGGCGCAGACTGCACATGTCTTCATTTTAGGTGGCGCAGGCTTCTTCTTGAGGAATAGGTTGGAATACAATTGCACGAGCAGGAACATGCATCCGGCGATCAAGATGAAGTTAATTATCGCTTGGATAAAATTACCGTAGTTCCACTGGTAGTTTGGTTAGAGAAGGCAAAACTCGAGAAGCTCAAAACAAAGGGGAAAAAAACTTTAAAAAAATTTTAAACTGAAAGAAAATTGGTGAAAAATTGCGCGAAATTGTTGGTGGCTG